TAACATTAGAAAACCCTATGGGGCAGTTGTTCTACTCTGTCCTATAAGGTTGCTACGAGTCCGAATCAACTTGATGGCAGTGGATGGGGTGGCATATGGTCAGTTTTTATTTGTTCTTTTTTCTTGAGTGTGAGCCATATTTTTCAGTTTTGTTCTCATGTCTGCTGATTTTTTGGTTAAATGCTACCAGCCTTGATCACTGTCCTTTAACTCCTCAAGCCAGTAAGGCTGTGACTTTCTGTCACTCTGAAGCATGGTTTGGGGAAAAAATTAGACTTGTAAATCTCACCAGGTGTAATTTCTGTATTTCGAGATAGTAGATTCTTCTAATTTTTGCCTGTTTTTTGGCATTTTTTTCAGTACTTCAAATATTATTGTTCTTTTTTTTTAATATTTTATTTAGATTTTATAATTTACCTTCAGGGTACTAGTCCTGTTGAGCTACTGTGTCATTTCTAGAAGAGCAGTTCCTAAGATTTGTTTTTACGTGTAATGGCTAAGCTTTATATCCCTGATCCCGTTCTTTTGCAATATAAACCAAAAAAAACCAAACCCACTGCCGTTGAATCAATTTGATTCATAGCGACCCCTCCTTGGGTTTCTCAGGTGGTACCTCTTCTACAGAAGTAGATTGCTCAGTCTTCCTTCCGAGAAGTGGCTGGTGGGTTTGAACTGCCCGCCTTCTGGTTAACAGTCAAATGCCTTAGGCACTACTCTACCATGTTGTTGTTGTTGTTATGTGCCGAGTCAGACCTGACTCATAGTGACCCCTCCTTGGGTTTCCGAGGCAGTATCACTGCGGAAGTAGATTGCTCCATCTTCCTTCCGAGGAGTGGCTGGTGGGTTTGAACCGCCAGCCTTCTGGTTAGCAGTCAAGTGCCTTAGCCACTATGCTACCAGAGCTCGTTAAATCTAAATTCAAGAGTCTGTTTATCACTATTAAATTTTTCTTTTCAAATCTATTCTCAAATAAACCTTCTGCACTCTCTTATCATGCTTTTCTAAGCCTGACTTAAGTTCCTTCCTTCTGTGATCTGTATGCATTGTATTATAATAATTTTGGGATTTATTTGACCTTCATTAACCTTGATCTTCCTGAGGTTAAGGTCTGTATGTTTATGTTTACATCCCTGGTACCTATCACAGTGCTTTGCACATGTTTCAATGAATGAATGTTGTTAGTTTTCCTCATTTATATGTTGAATTCTTTTTAGGCCTTGACTGTCCTATCTGTTTTTACTATATGTTGAGCATAAAAGAAAAGTTTTAATTTTGCTTTAAAATATGTTTTACTAATTTTGAATATTCATTTTATTAATGTTATTGAATTATAGTTTAATTTGTCCTAAACAGATAGTATTTTGTTCTAATTACATTTTCTTCATGCTTTAGTTTTTGAAGATTGATTTATTGACCTATGTTTGGATTTTGGGCACTGTAGATTATACAGCAGCTCAGAAGTGTATATGGGTATTATAGCACAACCTAGAAAATGATGTGCTGTTAAAGTAATAGCTGTGAAAGTCAAAGTAAGGCGAGATCACTTGTACTGAGTATCTTAGGATTGTTTCAGAGTTCTTCTCACATGTTCCTTCTTCATGCTGGAGGAGGAGGATTCTAATTTATGGAAGTAGGAAGAAAGCATTTCAATGGAGGGAAAAGTGTAAACAAGCATGAGGAACATCATAAGCAAATGAAGAGGCAAGAAATCATAATGTGTGTGCAGAAAGTACTGAATTGTTCAGTTTGGTTAGAGGATAGGGAGTAGTAGGAGATGAGGTGGGAAAAGTGATTTTAATGATAATACCAATATGCATTGCTTAACATGCATTTGGGCAACTAAAAAAACCCCAAACTCACTGCCATCAATTCGATTCTGACTCATAACGGCCCCTCCTTGGGTTTCCAAGGCAGTAGCACTACGGAAGTAGATTGCCCAGTCCTCCGAGGAGTGGCTGGTGGGTTTGAACTGCCAGCCTTCTCGTTAGCAGTCAAATGATTTAGGCACTATGCCACCAGAGCTCCCCATGAGGGGACATGTCAGTATGTCCGTAGTCCCATAAAGTTTTTTTGCTTTTGTTTTTTAAAAAGGGAAGCAGTTCTCCTTTTGTTTATTATTTTCCCCTAATGGTCTTAAAGACCCTGAATCCAGACTTTTTCCATACTGGACCATGGGGGTGCATATAGCCAGGTGAGGCAGAGGACATGGTTCTGGGTTAGTACTCTCAGTCTTTGCCTGGTGGGCAGGCAGTTGTGGTGGCAGAGGTTACGGGTCCTCGTCTGCACCTGCTGCTGAGGCTGGCAGAACAGTGAGCAGAGCTGGGTACACTCTGCTGCCCGCCTCTACCCTGTCAGGTCCTGCTACCTCTGACATTCATTCCTCTGGCATCTGCCAGCAACTCCAGCAGCAGCAGCAGCAAGAAGAATAATTGGAAGTGAGTTCTGACAAGGTTTTAATACTGTGTTCACATAATGTCCAAATCATATAACGTCCTATCTCATAGAACATACTGTGGATGTTAAGCAAAGCATACCTGTATAAATACTCTGAGCATTTATTTTCTGTCATTCAGATTTATGTATATTAACTTACTATGTTATTTATTTTGTACACAATGCAACTTGGGCCCAGAGACATTACGCAACCTGCTTGAGATCAAAGAGTTAGCAAATAGTGGCACCAAGAATAGAACCCTGTTGATCTAATTCTAAAATCCAAATTTTTAATCACTGGTTTCTGGAGGGTTTAGAATATAAATTTAAGAATTTTATGCTCTAGATTTCCTAAACGCAGCTAGGAATACATATCCCTTTGCTCTGCTTGCACATTTCTGATGGCTATTTTTACTGGGTACAAGATGGTCGTTACCTGGAGATAAAAGGGTCAGAATGGAGTGGGGAAAAACCTACAAGCAGGGAAATCAACTCATAGGCCATTAGAGTAGGGCTGGAAATAAGTATTGTAGAAATCTATGAATGATATTATCTTACATAAACAGATCAAAAGCATATACAGTGTAACATTTTTTTCCCTTCACAAAGCGTAAAATTTTCTTGTATGGATCTTCAGAAATAGTATAAGGAGAAAATTTATTGCTGAATTTAATAAGAATGAGATAGCATATAGCTTACTTTTACTTTAGTTAACACAAGTTTTTTTTTCCCCGCTGCACTTTAAGAGTTGCATGATGTCTTGTTACTGCTGAGACCTATTTTATCCTCTTTTATTTCCACTTGATAAAAATCACATGAATGAGGACTGGAGAAGAATTCAAAGTGAAACACTCTTGTTTGGACATTTTTCTTTGCTCTCTTTTAAAGTAATAACATCTTTTTTTTATCTCTTCCCATCATTTTCTGAAAAATCAAACAACAAAACTAGAATCCATATAAGAAACTTCAAATAAGTGATCAAAAACTGAAAGAAAAAAAAAAAGTCACTGTTATCAAATTGATTCTGACTCATAGTGACCTTCATTAGGTTTCCGAGGCAGTAAATCTTTAAGGAAGTGGATTGCCCCATTATCCATCCTCAGAGCAGCTGGTGGACTTGAACCACCAGCTTTCTGGTTAGCGGTCAGATGTCTTAGGCACTGTGCCATCAGAACTCCTTAAATAACTGATGTTGTTGTTGTTGTTATATGCCATCAAGTCGGCCCTGACTCACAGCGACCCCTCCTTGGGTTTCCGAGGCAGTATCACTACGGAAGTAGGATTGCTCAACCTTCCTTCCGAGGAGTGGCTGGTGGGTTTGAACCACCAGCCTTGTGGTTAGCAGTCAAGTGCTTTAGCCACTATGCTACCAGAGCTCCT